AGGGGGAAAAAAATGGGCTGTGTCTCCTTTGTCATGTTTGTTCCCAAGTCTGACACTCTGACCTCTCTACATTCCTGCCCAAATCAAAAAATGTGGGGTTTTTTTGTTTGTTGGTTTTTTTGTTTGTTTGTTTGTTTTTTGAGTTGGAGTCTCACTCTATCACCCAGGCTGGAGTACAGTGGCACAATCTCGGCTCACTGAAGCCTCTGCCTCCCACGTTCAAGCAATTTTCTGCCTCAGCCTCCACAGTAGCTGGGGTTACAGGCACCAGCCACCACACCCAGCTGATTTTTGTATTTTTAGAAGAATCGAGGTTTCACCATTTTGGTCATGCTGGTCTTGAACTCCTGACTTCATGATTCACCACTCTTGGCCTCCCAAAGTGCTGGGATTACAAGTGTGAACCACCTTGCCTGGCCCAAATCATGCATTTTATGGTGTAACACATCTGACGTTGTTTGTAGGGTATGTAGTGGGGAGTGCTTTGGAGGGGCTGGGTTCCTTATTTCTCAGTTATGCACATGTTTAGTTATCAGGGTCTCTCTCTCTCTCTCTCTCTCTCTCTCTCTCTCTCTCTCTGTCTTTTTTTTTCTTTTTTTTCTTTTTTTTTTTTTTTTTTTAAGACAAGGTCTTGCTCTGCCACCCAGGCAGGAATGCAGAGGCAGGAACATGGCTTACTGCAGCCTTGACCTCCTGGGCTCAAGCAATCCAATCCTCCCGCCTCAGCCACCTGAGTAGCTGGAACCACAGGAGTGTGTGTGCCACTATGCATAGCTGGGTTTGTTTTTGTTTTATGTTTTTTGGTATAGATGGGGTCTTACCACGTTGCCCAGGCTGATCCTGAACTGGGCTCACATGATCTTCCCGCCTCTGCCTCCCAAAGTGCTGGGATTACAGGCTTGAGCCACCGTGTCCAGCCAGGAATCTCTCTTTTCTAATTAAGGCATTAACTTGAGCCAAAGAAAGGGCATGGCAGCGAAGTCAACTGTTGCTGTCTGGCAAGATGAATTCATAATTTCTCACTGCGGTCTCTCGCAGCTCTGAGAGTTGATACTGGCAGAGCTAAAAGGGCGTCCCACAAAGGGATTAACTACATAATTGCCTTAAATGCTTGCAACTGGGTAACCCAGTCTGGCGTTCTTCCCTTTTTTGATGTGCTCTAGGACACAAGGCTGCAAGAATGAACCACAGTCAGTCTAGAGTTTTGCAGCCAGAGTCCCCAAAGCTTTGACCTCAGTGAGCCAGGTTGTGTCTAGGTTCCCAGAGCCTGAGTTGTCTTGTACCGAGGGCCACCAGTTACCTGTCCTGGAAGGTGCGAATCTTCACACCCACATTCCACCTTAGCACGAACCCATATTCTATCTCAACTCCACAGCCTACTTCGTATTTTCTCTGGCAGTCTACTCATCACAAACCTTTTTCCTTATCCTATTTTACGTCTTAGTAAAGTGAAACTCCTCAAATGTGGTACCATGAATGGTACAAGTGTGCTTATACCATAGGAATATTTGTTACATGCAAGTATTAGAATTTTCTATCAGCAGTGGAAAAGTGTGGGAAGTGCCGTAGCAAAGAATCATTTGGGCGAGGCGTGGTGGCTCCTGCCTGTAATCCCAGCACTTTGGGAGGCTGAGGTGGGTGGATCATTTGAGGTCAGGAGTTCAAAACCAGCCTGGTCAACATGGTGAAACCCCATCTTTACTAAATATACAAAAAATTACTGAGCATGGTGGCACGTACCTGTGATCCCAGCTACTCAGGAGGCTAAGATGGGAGAATCGCTTGAACCTGGGAGGTGGAGATTGCAGTGGGCCAAGATCGCACCACCGCACTCCAGCCTGGATGACAGAGTGAGACTGTATGTAAAAAAAAATAGAAAACTTTAAAAAAAAAAAAGAAATAAAATTCATTTGAGGCCGAGCATGGTTGCTTACACCTATAATCCCAGCACTTTGGGAGGCCAAGGCAGGCAGATCACTTGACGTCAAGAGTTCAAGGCCAGCCTGGCCAGCATGGTGAAACCCCATCACTGCTAAAAATACAGAAATTAGCTGGGCATGGTAGCAGGCACTCCCAGCTACTCTGGAGGCTGAGGCAAGAGAATCACTTGTACCCAGAAGGTGGAGATTGCAGTGAGCCAAAATTGCACCACTGCACTCCAGACTGGGCAACAGGGTAAGACTCCCTCTCAGAAACAAAATAAAACAAAACAAAAACTGAGCACAGAAAATAAAACGGGAACTGGCAACTTCTCTGTGTCTCTCCCAGTACTACTCCCAAATAGACTTTTTCTATTCTGTTTGCTTATAAAACCAGACATATCTGCCTCAGACCTGAATTCACATAATTTTCCAGTTCCAGACAGTTTAGGGTCTCTGAGTCTCCTCATTTTAAAACCCAAGAGACAATTTAATGGACCTAGCATTGAGTCAGGTGGCCACACTAATCATGTCTGATCTAAAACACAATGACAAGCATCACAGGGTTTCCTATCCCACCAGCTTCCTGTTGACAAAGGGGGTTAGGATAACCTGAGCATGGCAGAAAAAATGACCCACATACCTGCCATGAAGGTTTAGGAAGCTGCAAGGCTGAGGTTCCTTCCTAGTCCCCAGTGGACTCACCAGGGTGAAGCCACTTTATGAAGCCTCTAAGCAGAGAACCACTCGCCTACCCAAGAGACTCCTCCATGAAAGCCCAAGAGAGGCATCCAGTTTTTAAAACTCCAGCTATCCTAACTACGTCAATGAAGAGTAGGAAGGGGACAAGGACAATCATCTTAGAAACCTTCTGCCAGGCCAGGCATAGCAGCCCTTACCTGTAGTCCCAGCTACTTGGGAGGCTGAGGTTCAAGGACCACTTGAGCCCAGGAATTCAAGACCAGACCAGCAACACAGTGAGACCTTGTCTCTAAAAACAAATAAACAAAAATCCTCTGCTGGGGGCAGAGTGAGAATTAATACTGAGTAGGTAGTATGTTTTGATGGCATCAGTCCTGGAGTATCCAGCAATTTGAGTATTTCCCATTAGGGAGAATTTGCTGCAATTCCTTTTGATTTGTCCTGATATTTTGAATTTTCTCTTTCTTATTTATTATTATTGTTGTTATGATTATCATTTTGTAGAGTTGGGGTGTCTCCCTATGTTACCCAGGCTGATCTCGAACTCCTGGGCTCAAGCAATCCTCCCGACTCAACCTCCCAAAGTGATTGGATCACATACATGAGCCACTGCGCCTGGCTGATTTTCTCTTTCTGTGGAGCAAAACCCTGACAGTCACTACTAACAGGGTCAAGAATCTGTCATAGGAGAAGTGGAAAAATGTCTGGATTCATTTCAAGGAAATCAGTACAGTTAAGTGGTGGGGTAACTCAAGAATCCGGGGTCACCAAGAAGCTGAATAAAGACTATTGAGTAAGTTATTATGGAGAATAATCCCTTCTCTTAAGGAGGCACGTGTCGTAGATTTATGGTATCATATTCAACTGAGGTGCTTATTAAAATGCAGATTCCTGGTCTGGCCCCAGATCTACCAAATAAGTCAATGGGGTGAGACAGAACATTTGCATTTTAACAAGCTTCCTGGGTAAGCCTAATGCATACTCACATTTGGGAACCCTTGTCCTAAAACTTGAAGCTTGAGATCCTTGGAATGAGCCACCTCACACCGACACTCAGAGTCCAATAACCATTTGAGAATGTGATGAAAGTGATGGTACCTCGTTCAGAAACATGTATACAGATAGCTACACATAACAGGTGTGTACAATTTCGGGGGGCTTACTGATTCCCTGCAGCTCTTCTGCAAACCCAAATGAAGATCCCCTGCACTGGAAAACATAGACTCTGAAATACCTTGAAGGAAGAGAAAGAGGATGATATTAACAGTTTAGGGAAAGGAACCATTTATACAAACTCATTAAGATTCTGAGCTGGAGGCCGGGCGCAGTGGCTCAAGCCTGTAATCCCAGCACTTTGGGAGGCCGAGGCGGGTGGATCATGAGGTCAAGAGATTGAGACCTTCTGGTCAACATGGTGAAACCCCGTCACTACTAAAAATACAAAAAATTAGCTGGGCATGGTGGTGCGTGCCTGTAATCCCAGCTACTCAGGAGGCTGAGGCAGGAGAATTGCCTGAACCCAGGAGGCGGAAGTTGCAGTGAGCCGAGATCGTGCCATTGCACTCCAGCCTGGGTAACAAGAGCAAAACTCCGCCTCAAAAAAAAAAAAAAAAAAAAAAAAGATTCTGAGCTGGGTGTGATGGCCCATGCTTGTGGCCCCAGCTACATGTTGAGGCTGAGGAGGGAGGATCACTTGAGCCCAGGAGGTCAAGGCTGAAAGGAGCAGCCTCTGCTCTGCATCCTGGGCCACAGATCAAAACCCTGTCCTCCCCCCCACCCCCCCCAAAAAAAAGGAAAAGAAAAGAAAGAAAGAAAAAGAAAAAAGAAAGATTCTGGAGTTAGGAAAGTTCTTATCCCAACCCTGGCTTGGCCACTTACCAGCTGTGTGACAGCATCAAGTTTCTTAATCTCAATAGGACTCACTTGCTTCATCTGTCCCATGAGAATAATATCTCCCAACAGGATTGTAAAGAATCTTAAATGAGGCTGGGTATGGTGGCTCATATCTATAATCCCAGCACTTTGAGAGGCCAAAGCGGGCCAATCACTTAAGGTCAGGAATTTGAGACCAGCCTGGCCAATATGGTGAAAGTCCATCTCTACTAAAAATACGAAAAAATTAGCTGGGTGTGGTGGTGGACGCCTGTAATCTCAGGAGGCTGAGGCACAAAGATCACTTGAACCCAAGAGACGGAGGTTGCAGTGAGCCAAGATGGCACCACTACACTCCAGCCTGGGCAACAGAGTAAGACTCCATATATATATGTATATATATGAATTTTAAATGAGATAACATATTTGGATCTCATAGCATAACAGTTGGCCCATTATTAATGAGAAAGAAGTGACATGGATTTTATTTTTAGGTCAACAGGTCAGTAAACGGTCAGGTTATTATTCCAAGGAACAAAAGACAAGAAGACACGCTCCCTAGGAAGTCCCAGCAGGAATAACACTCATGCAGGTAAGATAGCTGTGAGGAACCATTTCTGCAAATCACAACTGTCCACCCATTGTGCTAAAATTTCCATTCAGAGAGAGACTTTCCTCATCATTGTTAGAAAAATCAGCATGCAAATGTGATGAGCATAGAAGAAACAAAGCTGGCAAGGTGCAGTGGCTCACGCCTATAATCCCAGCACTTTGGGAGGCTGAGGCAGGGAAATCACGAGGTCAGGAGTTCAAGACCAGCCTGGCCAACATGGTGAAACCCCATCTCTACTAAAATACAAAAAAAATTAGCTGACCCTGGTGGTGGGCACCTGTGATCCCAGCTACTCTGGAGGCTGAGGCAGGAGAATCTCTTGAACCCACAAGGCAGAGGTTACAGTGAGCCAAGATCGTGTCATGGCACTCTGGCGTGGGCTGGAGTGAGACTCCATCTAAGAAAAAAAACAGAAGAAGAAACAAAGCTAGTGAAATAAACAAATGTGATAAAAGGACAGAGAAAACGACAAATGTAGGAAAGATTCTAATTCTCCAGAACGTCAGAGCCAAAAGGGGCCTCGGGGATCAGCTGACAAACCCCTTAATAGCAGAACCTTCCCAGCAGACTTCAGCTCCCCACATCTCTTTACATTTTGCCGAAGACAATGTTCGCTTTGATGCTGCAAAAGCTTCGGTTTGCTTGTTGTGTTTCCTCTCTCCATAATTGCATGTTAGGCCATCCTTTTGTATTGGCAAATTGGTCTAACAAAAAGAGGGTTATAGATTCCGAAAATACAAACAAATTCTCGCAGCTCTGAAATTCTCCTCGGACTCCAATGGTTGACACACATAATTTACAGGTGATGGAGTTCCTCAAGTGCAGAGGGCGATAGCAGTTCATTCTTCCGCTGGCAGAGAGAGCGAGCGAGCTGTCAGTCTCGCCGTCGTTTGGGAGCGACACTCTTAAGGGATGTTGCAGTGCTTGCTGTCGTCTCCTTTCAGACAGGTTGGCAGTCCCACTGAGAGCTGACTCCTCCTTCCTGAAAGTCTTGAGGGGGGTGGGGGGAGGGGTAGTGCTGTGTATTCAGGTGACCCCCTCTGGTATATCCTGAGACTAGAAGGCAACTATATTCCGGGCTTTTGAGAATACTGAGCCAGGGCAACGGGGATGAAGGGACAAAGGCCAGCCAGGACATGCAGGAACTCAAGGCCACTGTTCTTTTTTTTTTTTTTTTGAGATGGAGTTTTGTTCTTGTTGCCCAGGCTGGATAGCAGTGGCATGATCTTGGCTCACAGCAACCTCCTCCTCCTGGGTTCAAGCGATTCTCCTGCTTCAGCTTCCCAAGTAGCTGGGATTACAGGAGCCCACAACCATGCCCAACGAATTTTTGTATTTTTAGTAGAGATGGGGTTTCACCATGTCAGCCAGGCTGGTCTTGAACTCGTGACCTCAGGAGATCCACTCAGCTCAGCCTTCCAAAGTGCTGGAATTACAGGCATGAGCCACCACGCTCAACCAAGTTCCACTGTTCCTGACAACACCACCTTGGGCAAACCTGGCAGGGACCCTTTCCTATGCTTCCCCACTGCTCTCCAGGAGCTGTCCTGGATATAGACAAAGAGAGACAGTGCCATCTCCCCCAGAACCTCTTTAGGTGGACCCGACTAGAGTTGCTCATATTCCATTCTCATCTGTTTAGAAAGGAAATCAAAACAACTGTAGAGGCCGGGTGCAGTGGTTCACACCTGTAATTCCAGCGCTTTGAGAAGCTGAGGCAGAGGAACCCCTTGAGCCTGGGAGTTCAAGACTAGCTTAGATAGCATAGCAGAACACTGTCTCTAGAAAAAAAACTTGAAAATGAGCTGGGTGTAGTGGTATGTGCCTGTGGTCCCAGGCACTTGGAAGGCTGAGGCAGGAGGATCACTTGAGCCCAGGAGTTCAAGGATGCAGTGAGATATAGTCATGTCACTGCACTCTAGCCTGAGCAACAGAGTGAGACCCTGTCTCTAAGAAATAATTAAAAATAAAAATTTTAGGCCAGGCACAGTGACTTACGCCTGTAATTCCAGCACTTTGGGAGGCTAAGGCAGGCGGATCACGAGGTGAGGAGATCGAGACCAGACTGAGCAACATGGTGAAACCCAGTCTGCACTAAAAATACAACAATTAGCCGGACATGGTGGCACACGCTTGTAGTCCCAGCTACTCAGGAGGCTGAGGCAGGAGAGTTGCTTGAACCTGGGAGGCGGAGGTTGCAATGAGCCGAGATGGAGTCACTGCACTCCAGCCTGGGCAACAGAGCAAGACTCCATCTCAAAAATGAAATAAAATAAAATAAAATAAAGTTAAAAAAAAAATACTCTGCAGAATGCAAGGAAGCTACTTTTGAAGCAACCATGGTTGTTTCGGCAACCATGATCCTTATCATAAAGGCTTCATTACTTTCCTACCTGGGCAAAAGCATGTGACCCAACCACAACCTTGCCTTCCATTCAGGCCAGCTACGGGGTGAGAGATTCTCTAAGTGTCAGAATTTTCCAGTGAACTGGTAGAAAAGGTTCCTGATGTTTGGTGAGTTTCTGTTAAGCATGGCTGGGCATGGTGGCTCACGCCTGTAATCCCAGCATTTTGGGAGGCCAAGGTGGGAGGATCACTTGAGGCCAGGAGTTCAAGACCAGCCTTGGCAACACAGCAAGACCTTGTCTCTACAAAAATAATTTAAAAGAAATAAAATCATTATTTAAAAATGAAAAAATCAATCGGTCAAATGTGTACTACATTGCTCATCTCCATGCCCAGGGAGATATTTGTTAATTTATTGAAGCCATGATTGAGCTCCTACTTTATGCCAGTTTCTGGGTGAGATGCTGAGGAAACCCAGATGAGTAAGACACTGCTCCTACTCCTATCTTGGGACCAGAAACTTAACAGCTGACTCCAATACGCTAAAATAAATGTTGCAACTTGTATTTGGTTTCAGCCTTTGGGCACAAAGAACTTAATAGTTCATGTAAACTGAAAAAGCATAAATAATCAAAATGTTAATCCAAAACCAAACTCTAAATATTTTACTCTGAGCCAATATGAATGAACATGGCCCAGGAACACAATCTCAAGAGGTCCTGAGACAGTATGCCAGAAGCAGTTGGATTACAGGGTTTTTTTGTTCCTTTTTGCTATCGTTGTTGTTTTTGAGATGGAGTCTCGCTCTGTTGACAGGCTGGAGTGCAGTGGTGCAATCTTGGTTCACTGCAACCTCCACCTCCCAGGTTCAAGCGATTCTCCTGCCTCACCTTCTGAGTAGCTGGGACTACAGGCGTGCACTATCACATCCAGCTAATTTTTGCATTTTTAGTAAAGACGAGGTTTCACCATGTTGGCCAGGATGGTCTCGATCTCTTGACCTGGTGATCCGCCCGCCTCAGCATCTCAAAGTGCTGGGATTACAGGCGTGAGCCACCAAGTCCGGCCTGCAGTTTGGTTTGATACATTTTAGGGAGGCAGGACTTGAAGGCATAAATCAATACATGGAAGGTATACATTGGTTCAGTCTGCAAAGGCAGGATATCTTGAAGTGGAGGAGCTTACAGCTTACAAATTCTAGATTATAGATTATATAATCTAGATTATATACGTTATAGATGATATAATAGGATTATATCGATTATAGATTATATAATTCTAGATTAAGAAATCTATAATCTATAGGTTATAATCCTTTAATTTGTCATTGGCTAAAGGAGTAAAGCTCTGTTTACAACTCTGGAGTCAACAGAAAGGATTTTTTTTTTTTTTTAGATGAAGTCTTGCTCTGTTGCCAGGCTGGAGTGCAGTGGCTCAATCTCAGCTCACTGCAACCTCTGTCTCCCGGGGTTAACATGATTCTCATGCCTCAGCCTCCCTAGTAGCTGGGATTACAGGCATGTGCCACCATGCCCAGCTAATTTTTGTATTTTTAGTACAGACTGGGTTTCACCATGTTGGTCAGACTGGTCTCAAACTCCTGACCTCATGATCCGCCCACCTCAGCCTCCCAAAGTGCTGAGATTACAGGCATGAGCCATCATCGTGCCCAGCCGAAAGGAATGTTTTAAGATAAGGAATTCTATTAATCAGCACACTGGGTTGCAGTGACCTGTAGGGGAATGTGAATTATGACTTGTCTAGCATGGCCTTAGGTCCTGCTTATAATTCGGTATCTTATTGTCAAGAAGAGTCCATTTTGTTAAGCTTTTTTTTTGACATGGAGTCTTGGACTTTTGCCCAGGCTGGAGTGCAATGGTGCAATCTCGACTCACTGAAACTTCCACCTCCCGGGTTCATAGGATTCTCCTGCCTCAGCCTCTCAAGTAGCTAGGATTACAGGCACACACCACCACATCCAGCTAATTGTTTGTATTTTTAGTAGAGACAGGGTTTCACCATGTTGGCCAGATTGGTCTCTCAAACTCCTGACCTTGTGATCCGCCTGCCTCGGCCTCCCAAAGTGCTGGGATTACAGGCAGGAGCCGTGGCGCCCAGTACCATTTTGTTAGTCTTATAATCTCTGTTTTAACGTTAACGCTGGCCAGTTGTGCCTAAACTCCCAAAGGGAGAGGGCATTGAGGTGTACCTGACCTTCCTCCCCTCATGGCCAACAACTCAGTTTTTCAGGTTTTCTGGGGTCACCTTGGCAAAGAGGGAGTCCATTTAATTGATTGTGGGGCTTGGGATTTTATTTTTAGTTTATGAAAACATGGCAGGCTGGGCGTGGCGGCTCACACCTGTAATCCCAGCACTTTAGGAGGCTGAGGAGGATGGATCACTTGAGGTCAGGCGTTTGAGACCAGCCTGACCAACACGGTGAAACCCCATCTCTACTAAAAATACAAAGATTAGCTGGTCATCGTGGTGTGCACCGGCAATCCCAGCTACTTGGGAGGCTGAGGCAGGAGAATTGCTTGAACCCTGAAGATGGAGGTTGCAGTGAGCCAAGATCATACCACTGCACTCCAGCCTGGTGACACAGTGAGACTCAGTCTCAAAAAAAGAAAAAA